TGTGTATTTGAGCCAACGGGGTCATCGAGACGATGTACTTGTAATCATGTTGTATTTTAAGCTTTTTAGGGTATATTTTAACGTAGTGACAACATAAACAAAGAAGATTGTATCTATCGACGAATTAAGGCGCATGCCAAAAAATTTTATTGATATGATGTGCCATTACTGGGCCTCATTTTCATCTAATGAGTATCTCTCCGTATTACAAAAATTAAATTATTTATTATATTTTATGCAATTAAAATAGTGATTCATATGCAATCAAATAGATGTGTACTATTTATTTTAATCACTTATCGAAATTTAAAATATAATATTATTATTTAACTTATAATTTTAATATTATATGCTAAATATAATTTATAATACTATATGTTTAAAACACAATACCATTATCTAAATTATAATTTTAATATTGTATACATAAATATTTGTGCAAATTCACAAAATCGAATACTAGGAAATATAGTGGATCAATGCAACAATTAAGCAATAATTTTGACACAAATTAATTAATTAACCAAACAATCTTCATAGCAAGTAGTGAGTAGTGACCATTGTTTCTAAAAGGATCAAAGTTTATGTCAACAACGCGTGTCTAACTTTAAACAATCAATCACACACCCATCCCCTATAAATACAACAATGCACAATTCAGTTTTAAATCAACATTACAGCCAATAAAAAATAAATTATCGGTAGCATTTCCCAAATTCAAAGTCCAAAACCATATGGAAAACTCAAAGCCCGCCAACTTCGTCCTTACATTAACCACACTCTCACTCATATTCACACTCTCCCAAGCCCAACTATCAGAGACTTTCTACAACAGTACCTGTCCCAATGCGCTTGGTATAATCCGTGCCACCATCCAGCAGGCGGTTCAGCGCGAGCCTCGCATGGCGGCTTCGCTAATCCGCCTACATTTTCACGACTGCTTCGTGCAGGGCTGCGATGCTTCGATCCTTCTGGACGATACCCCCACGATCCAGAGCGAGAAATCGGCCGGCCCAAATGCCAATTCCGTAAGAGGGTACGACGTGATCGAGGCCGCCAAGAGCGCTGTCGAGAGCATATGCCCTCTTGTGGTGTCCTGTGCTGATATTCTGGCCGTGGCAGCACGTGATGCCGCTGTTTTGGTAAGTGGATACAAAATCCCTTGATTTTTCGGAAATATTAAACCCTACATATATACAAGGAAATACACTCTTTTGTGCATAGTTATAAATAAATAAAAAAAAGGAAAAACTGCATTTTTCTAATTCTGGTTTAATGTCGTAGTATTTTTAGTCCCAAGAATTTAATTTTTTCTCTTTTGATCCTATAATTTAGTATTTTGCTGCATTTCAGTTTTTTGAGACTGGAGTTGCAACAAAATTTAAAATTACAGGATTTAAATTGTTAATAAAAAAATACATCAAAAAAGATTTTTTATAAGTAATTTAAGTTCTGTAATTTTAAATGTTGTTGCATTTTCAGTCGCAAAAGACTGAAATTGCGTTGGATTTTAAAATTATAGGACCAAATAGCAAAAGTATTCAATTCTTAGGACTAAACACGCCAATGAATCAAACCAACAGGTAAAATTACAATTTTGCCAAAATAAATTAATAGTATGTGAAGAAACATTATCATTAAAAAAAAAAAGAAGAATATATCGTTGAAGGTGTGTTTGGTTTGTATATTTTCAATTTTATTAGAGTGGCGGGCCGTCATGGGCCGTGAAGCTGGGGAGAAGGGATTCCACAATAGCAAACCTTGATGCCGCAAACAGTGATCTACCCGGCCCATTCTCCACCCTTGACGGCCTCACTACTGCCTTTGCCAAAAAAGGACTCAATCAAAGGGAAATGGTTGCCCTCTCAGGTACGATCGCTCGCTAATCAAAATTATATCAGAATTTTTATATTATTAATATTGAGTAAAAATTTATTAACAATTTCCATTTATTCCATTTAAATGTAAATTAGGTGCACACTCTATAGGCCAAGCCCAATGCACGTTCTTCCAATCGAGGATCGACGATGTTAATGCATCCGGCATCGACCCTGGCTTTGCTGCCCGACTGAATCGCACGTGTACAAGGGGCAGTACTAAAATGGCCCCGCTCGACTTTGCCACGCCAAACACGCTCGACAACAAATACTACCAGAACCTTGTCGGTCACAAGGGTCTCTTCCAGTCGGACCAGGTCTTATTTAGTACTGTCGGGTCCAATTTTACAGCCGCACTCGTCTCCAACTACAGCGCCAAGCCCAACCTCTTCAGCTCCGACTTTGCAAATGCCATGCTCAAGATGTCCGAGATTCAGCTCTTGCTCGGCACCAACGGGACCATAAGGAGGGTTTGTAACGTCACTAGCTAGACGAGCCCACTCGCGATCGATTACTTATTTTTGAGATCGACAGTACTTTTTGTCAAATAAAAATGAGAAAAATAACTTTAAAAAGATGCATTTTTTCAGGAAAAGTGAAGGGAGAACCATTTTTTTTCATACAATTTACCGAATTTCACAGGTTTATGCCGGCAAATTAAGACAGTAAAGTGCAACTTACTCGTAAATTGTACGTAAAGTCGGCATAATAAAAAAGCGGTGTCTATAAGTGCGACATGTTATAAGTTACATGAAATTAATTACATTTGTTATTTTATTTTTATTATTAGTGATCTGATATCAATAATGTGAGATTAAACTTTTCGAATGTTTGCAATCAGTTGTTATTCAATTTCGACATGAACCTGAACCTTATTTGATTTGAGAAAATATATATTAATGAATATTTATTTGAATTGTGGAAATAAATATTTACGACTATAGTTACAGATTAACCACTTCAAGGATAAAAATCTCTCGCCGTCATCTCTCCTTCGAAAAAATATTTACGACTATATTTAAAACAAACAACCTTCTTCGAAATCCTTCCCCTTCGAAAAAATCCCTCGCCGTCGTCTCTCCTCTTGCAGCTGATTTGCCCTCCTCTGCCGACATCGATCTTAGCCGGAGGTTGCTGGCCCCCAATTGTCTGGTTCCCGCCCCTTCTTTACCGCTCCACTGCCCGTTTTCCATGGTTTCGGCTCTCTTCGGCCGCGAAGTGGTTTTCTTCTTCCGGAGATTGCTCGTCAATTCCGGTTGGTGGCTGCTATTTCGTGTGGTGGTGGAGCCGTTGTGCGGTTCCTGGGGCGGGACACGGCTTGCTTGCTCGGCGTTTTTGCTAGGCGTCGAAAGCGGTGAAGGTACTCACGACCATCTCTCTTTTTTCTCGATTTACGGGTCAAAGGGGGCTGCTGCGATGACAGATCTTTCTCCAGCAAGGCTGGTCGGGGTGTTGTTGCGGCGGAATTGTGGTGGTTGGGTAGCTCCTAGGCGGTTTCGGGGTCGGGGCTGGGTCGTGGCATTTTTTTGCCTGTTTGGGGCACTTGGGTGTTGTGGCCGTGGTGCTCGTTGGCCTGCTGTGGTTTCGGAGTTGGGGTTTCGCCTCTGTTAGGCAGCCGAGTGGGTTTAGCAGTTTCGGAGTTGATGCTTCTAGCTTTGGGATCCGTGGTTGACTGGTTTCCAATGGTTTGAATCGATGTTGCTGCCTAGTAGGGGCTTGTTTAATTTGCTTTGTTTTTTTGTTCTTTTGTTTGTGTTTTTGTGTGTTGTTTTGTCTTGTTTGTGTTAGTTTGTATTACCCTGTTGGGGTCGGTAGTCGTGTTTTTTGTTGTTTCTGTTGTATTTTTGGTTTGGGCCGTTGGCCTCAGTGAACCCGAGTGTCAACTTTATTATCCTGTTGGAATCCGACATTCGGGTATTACCCTGTTGGGGTCTTTTTGAGTTGTTGTTTAGTTTAGTTTGGGTTGTTTTTTTATTTTAGCGTTGCTAGCACGATTCTAGGCGGTCTTCTGACCTGTCCTCTCATTTTATTCTCCCGTTAGGAGCTTTGTATCTTTAGTCGCACATTTGTGCATTTTTGATTTATAATAGTTGCTCTGTCGTTTCGGAAAAAAAAAAGAATAAATATTATTTATAAATTACAAAAAGAAAAAATAATTAAAATTTTAATTTTTTTTTTGAAATGCCTAAATGATTTAATAACTATAATATTTCTTATTCAATATCCGTACGGTTGTCTACATTGTTCTTTATTTATTTTTCTTATCATGTATTATTGTCATTTACTTTTTAAAAATTTAATAAAACTTTCATTTGTCATCAATTTTTATATATAATATTAAATTAACCTTCATTTTATGAGTTTTAATTTGACATATTGTATGCTTAAATCAATAGTAGTTATTCCTAAACTATTAATATGTTTGTTTGTTAACGATACGTCCCAAAAAAAAGGAATTAACTTATTATTTAATAATAATATAAAATAAATGAATTAGTCTTAAGTTAATCACAAAATATAATCGTATCTATTATAACGTGTATTCTACTTAAAATAATCTAAAATAGTAACTACAATGTTTTTTCGTGTTCAAAAAATTAATTATAGTAACATAAAAAAAAAAAAAAATTATTTCGTGGATCAATTAGATGCAATATTAAAATGATAAACCTTTATTTGTGACCGTAGTTAGGAATTTAGATATGCTACATCTCTCACATACGAGAGGACACCACACATTTTTATAAATTCAGACCTTTGCTATGTTCTTCTTTTTCGATGAAAAGAGACATGGTGAGAGACAGGTGAGAGAGCATTCCAAAAATGGTAGAATTCTTTTCAATCGTGGATGGGATGTAACTGTTTGGGTAAATGGCTACATGTACCCTTTGGATGTAAACGAGTGGTACACCAAGGGGTACATCTAGCATGATCCTCAGTTTTCTGACTAAGAGTGAATCGAGAGTGTTAAATATTCAATTAAATTGAGATATTTATTTATGAGTAATGAGATTATTTCTATTTGATGGAAAATTTAATTAAGTTAATTTGAATTTATATCTAATTAGTAATGAGATAAATTTCAAATTTGATGAAAAATATTTAGATAAATTAAATTAGATTTATACTTAATTAAATTATTAATTGAATTATGTCCAATTACCTATTGAGCTATAAGGACTAAAGTACATAACTAACCTCCTAATAAAGAAATATTCCATTAAATAGACTGAGTATGTAGAATTTCAAAAATACTCCTTTCATTCCAACTACACATGGTCAGGTGCTTGGTTCGGGCCCGGCCCGCCGGGTCGACGGGCCTCAATTGTGGGCCCGTAACCGGCCCGACGATTCCTATGGTCCAGTTCATTTGAACCGGCCGGTTTTGGGTTGAAAAAAATTAAGGAAAAAATAAAAAATAAAAAAACAACTATGACCCGTCGGAAAAACTGGAAACGACCCGGAACAGGTCCCGGCCCGGCCGATCAAAAAAAAAAAAAAAACAGGAGAACCTTAACTGGACCGCATTGGCCACGGTCCGGTTCAAAAGCCCACCACTGTTCATGCCGGTACCGGTGTCGGTTCGGTCCGAGCCGGTACCGGCTCACGGGTCGGGCCACAGACCGGTTTGGCCCGTGACCATGTCTAATTCCAACTGATTTTAAACCTCCAGAATAACAAGAAACTTATTCTTTATGTAAAAATTAAACATATTTCTCTCTCTCTCTCTCTCTCTCTCTCTCTCTCTCTCTCTCTCTCTCTCTCTCTCTCTCTCTCTCTCTCTCCCTTCATTTACTTTTCCACGTTCTTCCTTCTCCTTTTTGTTCTTCAACAAAGCTATGCATAAGAAAAAACACCATAAATACACGTATATAACAATTAAATTATTTAAATAGCAACAAAAAAGAAGTTTGTCATTGCAATTAAAAAATAATAATATATTTCATAAAAACAACAAACAAGATACTGCAACACAACAACATAACATCTATCAAGTAACATAAAAGCAACAATATAACATCTGTCAACCAACATAAAAGCAACATTAGCAACATGAAAACAACATTCTCTTAACAATTACACTTAAATTTTATAACTAACATATGAGATTGTATATTTCATAACAATAAAAAATCACTATTACAACAATCAAAACACATAAAATAAATGGCTGAAAATTTACAAACTTAAGTTTTAAAGTAATGTTAAAATCCACATTTTCCTCCAAGAATTACTAATATAAAGAACCAAACCCCCTTTGTCAAATTTTTTTAAATGAAAAATAAAAATGGATTAAAATTCAGATATTGAAAAATAATCAACACTCAACTTAATTATTAAAGAATGATTAACATAGGTAGAAAACTCGTTTTTATATTGATGTTATATGCATAAAACCCCAATTCAATATACCGTAATCCAATAACTCAATTACTCAACAAAATCGACCTTAAATACACATAAATGTACGCACCACGTGATTCTCAGTCGCTGACTGCGGCTCCGACATCGGCTTGCGCGGGTTAAGGCTGAAAAATCCCAAGACGATTGAGTGCCTTCGGCAGCTGAGGCTGATTCATTTCGGATACGGAGGCTCAAATTCAAGTCCACATTCTTGCCATAGAATGTGCTGAAATCATAAGAGAGAACATGATAGAGAAGAAGAGAACTGTTTTCATTGTCTGCGTAGTAGAGGAATTACAAGAAATATATAGAGATTACAAGAGATGAGATCATATCAAATCAAATATTTAGATACTAAAAATAACGAATCTGAATACCAATGATAAGTAGATAACTATGGAAAATATTATGAATAATTATATATCCGTCAGACCCCCCCCCTCCCTCCCCCCTCAAGTTGGTGCATGAAGATTACGAATGCCCAACTTGCCGTGAAAGTCTTTGAATTCCTGTCCTCCCAAGGCCTTATTAAAGATATCTGCCAGTTGAGTCGTGGTAGAAACATAATTAGGAGCAATAAAACCCTTAATAATGCGTCACGAACAAAGTGACAGTCAATCTAATTGTGTTTAGTACGTTCATGAAAAACTGGATTAGAGGCAATATGTAAAGTTGTCTTGCTGTCACAAAAGAGAGAATTTGGAGACGAAAGATCCACACTAAAACATCCCAAAAGGGATTTCAGCCATGTTAGTTCACAAGTGGTGGATGCCATGGAGCGATATTCTACTTCTGCAGAAGAGCGAGAGACGGTGGACTGCTTCTTCGTCTTCCAGGAGATAGGTGACGATTCGAGTAGGATAATCCAACCAGTGAGAGAGCAACGTGTAAGAGGACAACCTGCCCAGTCAGAGTCACTCCAAGCAGTAAGACACAAATCAGAGTCAGAGCGGAAGAAAAATCCTTGACCAGGACTACCTTTCAAATATCGCACAACCCGAAGAGCAGCGTCCCAATGAGCCTGGAGAGGTTTGTGCATAAACTGAGACAAAACATGAACAAAGTAGGACAAGTCCGGTCGCGTGAC